AGTGGTTCTGGTGTCTATAGCCTGTCCCTGCAGGCCTTTTAATGTAAACACGGCGGCACTGCAGCACTTGCGTTAGTTAAAATGGGGCATTGTGATGTCATATGGGGGGGGGGGGCGGCAAACTTTACTTTTGCCTAGGGCGGCAAAAATCCTTGCACCGGCCCTGCATACATACATACATACAGTACTTACTGTACATACATTGACATACAGTTTCATACATAGATATATAGACACACATAGTCACATAATGATACACACGGTTTTATTAAGCCAACCTCTCTTTCCTTTCCCTAGAGTTATCTCTGTCAGTTCCATGGGTGATGAGAGGATGCTGAAGCTGCAGTGTCCCCGTTGTCAACCTTTTGGAGAAGCAATAATGCATGGGGTAAGCAAAAACGATTTCCTCCTTCACATTGGCAGCTGACAGTACTAGACAGCTTATGCCAGTATATAACTTACAACAGGACCAGTACTGAGGATGCCTGGAACAGCCTCGGGTTACCAGGACCACCCTAAATACCATTGTAACCGGTATCTGCTTCTATATAGTTTTAGTACCATCCTTTAAGTACTGGATTAAGAATGGCATACATTCTAGGAGATTTATAAATATATAATAACCTTGTTATTTGCCAGCACTATAGTTGACATTTGAAGGTGTGGCTGCACAGTTGCTAAATGAATCAATGAGTCACACAGGTTACAACAGCAAGAAGAATCTGTTTACACAACCAAGCTCTTCTGGAAACTCTTTCATCTCTGTGCCCTAATCAATCATCTGAACGTAATCTGCTCATTCTAATTAAAGGGACACATCAGGTTCTCTACCACACCCACAAATATCAATTACTGACTTGATGTTCAAGTTAGCTTACTGTAATCTTTTTTTTTTTTGATGTATCATGCATTTCTAAGCACCCCTGACTTATAAATGTCTAGATCAGGGGAACCCAAGCTTTTAGTAGTACTGTACCAAGGCAAGATCTTGAAGTCCCTTGGCATGCCGGTCCAACTTTTTTTTTTTTAAACTGAGGCGCGTATGTTACCGTGTTCTGCTTTTGCTATTTATAGGGGCTGTGGTTGCTTTGCAACATTGTATTTGTGCATATGTGGAATGTTATATTGTATAGGCACATGAGTAGTTTGTGGTATTGTGTATGATAAAGGTGAATGTGTAGGGGGGCTGCTTGTGGAATTGTGTGTCTCAATGAAAAGTCACATTGTGTGTTTGGTGTGTGTGTGTGAGTGTGTTGGGTGGCTGCATGTGCAAGTCTGCTTGTGGGGACAGGGAGAGGAACACTAAGGGTGGGGGCTAGACCCGGACTGGCCATCGGGCACACCGGGCAAATGCCTGGTGGGCCGCGGTGGCCATGAGCCGAGCCTTGCAGGGGAGGTCACAGGACATCCCCTGCCGGTCTATGCAGGGCCGGCGCTATCCTAGAGTTCACTCACCATTGGACCATCAGGGATAATGTGAGAGTGCCTGAACCCCCCTCCCAGATACCACCGTGACGGACCCCACCATGCTAAAGGTAAGAAGGGAGGGGGGGATATAATGCATGCTTATTAGTTGTTGTTTTTTTAATCCCCCTAGCACACAATCCCTTTTAACATTCACCCACAGCACTCTCACACACATCACACTCAGCACCCTCTCACACATCACACTCAGCACCCTCTCACACATCACACTCAGCACCCTCACACACATCACACTCAGCACCCTCACACACATCACACTCTGCACCCTCACACACATCACACTGAGCACCCTCACACACATCACACACATCACACTCAGCACCCTCACACACATCACACTCAGCACACACCCAAAGTACACTCTGCACCCTCACACACACATCACACTCTGCACCTCACACACACATCATACACTCTGCACCCTCACACACACATCACACTCTGCACCCTCACACACATCACACTCTGCACCCTCACACACATCACACTCTGCACCCTCACACACATCACACTCAGCACCCTCACACACATCACACTCAGCACACTCTGCACCCTCACACACATCACACTCAGCACACTCTGCACCCTCACACACATCACACTCAGCACACTCTGCACCCTCACACACATCACACACATCACACTCTGCACCCTCACACACATCACACTCAGCACCCTCACACACATCACACTCTGCACCCTCACACACATCACACTCTGCACTCTCACACACCTCACACTCTGCACTCTCACACACCTCACACACAGCACCCTCACACACAAATCACACACACAGCACCCTCACACACAAATCACACACACAGCACCCTCACACACAGCACCCTTAAACACAAATCACACACACAGCACCCTTAAACACATCACACACAGCACCCTCAGACACATACACAGCACCCTCACACACATACACAGCACCCTCACACACATACACAGCATCCTCACACACAGCACCCCTCAAACACAGCACCCCTCAAACACAGCATCCATCACACACACATACTGCACCCTTCACATACACACTACACCCCTCACAGACACCCACTGCACCCCTCACACATACACACAGAACCCCAACACACTGCACCAAACACACACACACACACACAATACTTCCAAACATATTTATAATATATATATATATATATATATATATATTCATACATACACACTACAGCACCCCTCACACACACACTGAACCCCTCACACACATACTGCACCCCTAAACACATTACATTCCAGACACACACTAGATCCCTTACCCAACTCTGGATCATATACACACACACTAGATCCCTATATAAACTCTGATTCCATTATATACACACTCACTAGATCTCCTACACATTCTGGATCCTTCAAACACACACTAGACTCCTGTATACACACACACACACACACACTGCACCACCCAGGGCCGCCATCAGAAATTTTGGGGCCCCTGACAAAGCACAAGATCTGGGCCCCCCTCTCCTTCCCTCCCCCCGGGCCCGCCCACGCCCTACCTAGTCTGCTGACAATGATGCAGGACTGAATGTGGTCAGTGGTGTACACATAACCCATTGGGCCCCGGTGCAAAAACTGATCCGTGGGCCCCCCCCCCGCGCGCTTACTCTGCGCGGGCAGGGGCCACAACACATGGCGGCGGGCACCTGGTCGCAAGGCTGCGACCCCTGCAACCACGGTCTGTACGCCAGTGCATGCAGATACACACACACTTAAAGGACCACTACAGACACCCAGATCACATCAGCTCAATGAAGTGGTCTGGGTGCCAGGTCCCTCTAGTTTTAACCCTGTAGCTGAAAACATAGCAGTTTCACTGAGGGTTAATCCAGCCTCTAATGGCTGTCTCATTGACAGCCGCTAGAGGAGCTTCCGCGATTCTCACTGTGAAAATCACAGTGAGAAGATGCTGAACGTCCATAGGAAAGCATTTAATAATGCATTCCTTTGGGCGGTTTGAATGCGTGAGCGGCTCTTGCCACGCATTCGCGCATTCGGAGCTGAGAAGCGGATCGTGGCGGAGAGATCCCCAGCACCAAGGGAGTCCAGCTCTGGAGAAAGGTAAGTGCTAACAGAAACACACATTTACTGACAGACACACACTCAGTGACAGACATACATACACACTCAGTGACAGACACACTCAGTAACAGACACACACAGTAACACACTCACTGACACACTCTAACACACACACACACACACACAAACACTAACACACACTCTAACACTAACACACACTAACACACACACACACGTTTTTTTTTACTGACAGACACACACTCAGTGACAGACATACATACACACTCACTGACAGACACACTCAGTAACAGACACACACAGTAACACACTCACTGACACACTCTAACACACACACACACTCTAACACACACACACACACACACTAACACACAAACACTAACACACACTCTAACACTAACACACACTAACATACACACACTCTAACACTAACACACACACACACACACACTAACACACAAACACTAACACACACTAACACACACACACTAACACACACACA